TCCTTGTATGTATGTATAATATATCTACACATTTATTATCCTTTGACTTTTTTTTCCTAGTATCCACTAGTAAATCTTGAATTATTAGTCAATATGTTATTTTCATAAAAAATATATGATAGAGTTTCATATAAATTTGTACCAATCTAATTAATACAAATCATTTTTTTAACATATGAATTCTTTGATTTCATGCATAGTTTTTTTTCGTTTTGTCATATTAGTTTTCATTAACTTTATCAACCAAAAACCAATTAACTTAAACGGATTTTTTATCATTAACAATTTTGAAAATCAATTTTCTATAATTAACTAATTAACTTACACCATCTTCAATCATTCATCATTATTTTCGTTAATCAAATCTCTCATAGCAATTACTTTGCTATCTGAGGTAGTTTCTTCTCCAATTTGGTTTTCTTGTTAATTTCTTGTTTTCCTTAGGATTGAGTTCATTTTCTTCAACTTCAACATTAATATTTGTTTATGCATACGATAATGTTGATTCTACATATTCGACCTTTTCATTGACCTCTTATTAGAGTCCTGGTGATGCTTTTATTTATATTGTTTATTACTTGGTTATGAACTTATGTTCTAAAAAATTGTACAGTATAATAATAAAAGGTCAAATCATTATATAAAAAACATATTTTTTAGATTCAGAAAATAAAATAACTGAGATGAAATGAAGTATTATATGATTAGAGCAAATGACATATTTCAATGTCTCCATGAATATCATAACCTCCAACCAGATTCATACTACGTTTTGTAAAACAAGAACCATATGTGGTTGACTCGTTTATATCACACTTAAAATGTACGTATCAAAGATAAAAGGCATAAGCTTAAATATTTTCTTATATATTTCCATGTCCCCATTTATACTTTAACCTCCCATCTGATGGGCTACCTTTTGAAAAATAAAAACCATCATACTTTACTAACCAAAAACACTTATTCGTCGTCACTAATTTGTTTCCACATTCTTCTGCAATTTGATTATTGAAAACTGGAAACTCAACCTCTCTATACACTTGATTGTCACTCATCATCCAGTAAAAGTTCCCGCTAAATTCAGTTGTTTCGCCAAAATTCCTACGAAAGTCCCAATGGAACGTGTCGCGTATAGTCATCGTATGGTTCCCAAGATCATTATCTTTTGAGTGAATATGAACAATTAGATTTTGAATTCCTGAATCGATGATATACATTGTATATGGCTCCAATGAGTTGACTACACCCGAAGTTGAAGAACTTACGGAGTAAATAACACATAACATCAAAACAACAAAGAAGAAGAATCTCATGGTGACAAGATTTAACGTATTTTGATTATTAGCCTAAGAGTGTCTTTCCTTAATATAGACATTCTCGAACTCAATGTATCCTGTGCAATAAACATACATTAAATTACATTATTATACCTTCAATTTAATAGCATAATTATTAGGTTTTAGTATCGACATATGCTTGTATTGGAAATATATCCCTTAATTAAATGGTTGAGGTTCATTTAAGTTTTAATGTATAACATTTCTTTAAAAGTACAATAATATAAATGTATGTTTGGTTTTATTTGTTCGATTTATAACAAGAAATAATGAGTTTTAGGTTGACTATTACCAAAATACCCCTAGTTAATTAATATTTTGAAATTAAACTCTCTTAATAATAATTTTTACTTTTCTAGATATTCAATTGATTTGTTCCCAAAATATCCCTTTGTTGGGCAAAAAATTTTAAGTAATATCCCATTTAAAATTATAATGCTATAATTCTACATGTGTTTTCATTTGCTCGGTTAATTGCATTAAATAGTGATATCTTTGCTGAATTCCAAAAATACACATGCTTCACTTTTGATTTTCCAGTCCTTTTTGGATATAAATTTCAAAGTGAGATGATTTTATAAGAAAAATAAATAAACTAATTTATAAAAAAAGAAATGAATGTAAAATGTCATATTGGGCATACAAATGAAAGTAAATTGCCATTTAATGCATTCAGCCGAATCACAATAGCACATACATAGACACACACTGATAAAATAGAAACATACATAGAACACACTCAAACACATGAAAATCATGTTACTCATCAGATACTGATACCAAAATTTAACTAAGTAAAAAAGAAAGAAAATGTAACATGAAACTTGATAAAAACTGTACTGCAAAAAACATACAAAGGAACATGGTTTCTTCATAACCGTTATAGAAGCAAATGCTCTCCATAATGGAGGTTCAAAACAGAAATTAACAAATAAACTTGTGAATTTGTTATATCATAATTTTTTTCTCAAATACAAGAAACATTGACATATATGATAGAAAAGTATGATATCTAAACCTTCTATCACATGAAATATCTAATGTTCTATACTCTCAGGGACTGTAATAAGATACATATGGATCGGTAAAATGTTGTCTCATCTTTGAGTAATAATTAAGACCATCTTTTCTACTGGAGAAGCCATCAATTGGTCTCAATCCATTCGATAATCTCTAATTTCATGAGTCATTCAACCTGCCTTCCTTCCCTTGAAGTCCAAAACAAGTTATTGATTGATCTCATTCCTCCGAAAGAATAAGAAACAGTAAGATTAGTTCATCCAGTAATTTAACAATTCAAGATTACAAAATAAAAAATAAAAGATATCAGTTTTACACTGTTAAAGCTTCCAAATTCCAAGGTGCAACAACCTCAGAGAAAAATGAGCGAAACATGTACCAAATTGTAAGAAAGGAATATCTTCATCAAGGGTAAATTGGGCAAAACGAAGTCCAAAATTTTATGTCTTGAGATCTTGATCATGAAAACAGATACAAAAAATGGAGAATTCTAGGGCAATATGGTTATTTAGTATGGTGCCACATGTGGGTCTTAAGTAATGTCACAAACTATTATTTTTATAGTTGTATCTATGGCTTAAGAAAAATAAAAGATATTGGCTCCTAAATCTTTTTCCAAAAATCAGTCAGATGCTACGAATTCTCTTGAAAGGCTTAAAATCTTTCAATACCAACAAAAGTAAAAATAAATCCAAAGTGCCAAACAACATTTTGAATAATAACTAAAAACTTACGTATATCTTTAGAAAACCGATTAATAACAACAATAAACGATTAATATGAAGTGAATTATCTTAATTCATTAAAAACCTCATAAAAATCAAAAGGAAAAAATGCAATAACACTCTAAGGCATAGAAAACCATCCCAATATATTTAATAGTATCATTTTCGACTCCTATTGAATGTGTAGGATTGTGAAGCTTGATTAACGCTTACTTACAACCTAAATTCAAGAAGTAACTTGTAAAATTAAATATATAAAAAAAAGATTACGGCCAGGACTCCTTACAGAGGCGGGTAGGAAATAGATTCATAAATAGATTCAATGAGTATCCATGAAATATAGTAGATTTCAGTAGTCATGGAATTAGGTCGCCCTGTAGTGAATATTCAATAGAATACATAAATAATTCGATACTGCAACATAAACGTAGATAAAGGGTAGGAGAAAGTTGGTAATAGAATTGGTCGTACGACTTGGTGGTTTTAAGGCTTACTTCAAGAAACGGAGGGGCTGACTGTGTGATGGGTGGTTGTTCACTATGGTAAACGACATAAGGAGAAGAAATAAAGAGATTTTGTGAGTAGTAGATGGGGGTTCGAATTAAGGTGGTGGTTTTTGGGTGATATAGGCAGCGACGGGGGTGAGGAAGGTGCTAGTGTTAAGGGTGGGGATAGAGGCAAAAGACCAAAGTGTTTGGCAGTACATGTGGTAATGGGTTGGTGGCGGCTCTCGTTTAGAAGAAGAGAAATCAAATATCCTCTTACTTATTTTCCTACCAATTTGAAATCATGACAAGTGTCTTAAAATGATATTAATTTTATCAAAATATGACATTTGTCACCATTTTACGTGGATAGGAAGACAAGTAGGAATAAAAACAGGGGATATTTAATTTCTCTTATAAGAAATCATGAGAAAAGAGTTTGTATCGAATAGATATATCGATGGGGAGAGTGAAACGGTGAGCACCTTTATAGGAGTTGGAAAAACGAAGGGTCACAAGTGAAAATCAAAACTCCGTGTTTTTTTATTATGCAGTGAGAGTTGTATATTTCTTAAAATTAAGACTTTTGTGCAGTTAAGTATGTATACATAATCACATTTTAAGTAGGTATATATAACACCATAAACTTTATTTTTATTAAAATTTTAATTTTTTTCTTTGTATGTATGTATAATATATCTACACATTTATTATCCTTTGACTTTTTTTTCCTAGTATCCACTAGTAAATCTTGAATTATTAGTCAATATGTTATTTTCATAAAAAATATATGATAGAGTTTCATATAAATTTGTACCAATCTAATTAATACAAATCATTTTTTTAACATATGAATTCTTTGATTTCATGCATAGTTTTTTTTCGTTTTGTCATATTAGTTTTCATTAACTTTATCAACCAAAAACCAATTAACTTAAACGGATTTTTTATCATTAACAATTTTGAAAATCAATTTTCTATAATTAACTAATTAACTTACACCATCTTCAATCATTCATCATTATTTTCGTTAATCAAATCTCTCATAGCAATTACTTTGCTATCTGAGGTAGTTTCTTCTCCAATTCGACCTTTTCATTGACCTCTTATTAGAGTCCTGGTGATGCTTTTATTTATATTGTTTATTACTTGGTTATGAACTTATGTTCTAAAAAATTGTACAGTATAATAATAAAAGGTCAAATCATTATATAAAAAACATATTTTTTAGATTCAGAAAATAAAAAACTGAGATGAAATGAAGTATTATATGATTAGAGCAAATGACATATTTCAATGTCTCCATGAATATCATAACCTCCAACCAGATTCATACTACGTTTTGTAAAACAAGAACCATATGTGGTTGACTCGTTTATATCACACTTAAAATGTACGTATCAAAGATAAAAGGCATAAGCTTAAATATTTTCTTATATATTTCCATGTCCCCATTTATACTTTAACCTCCCATCTGATGGGCTACCTTTTGAAAAATAAAAACCATCATACTTTACTAACCAAAAACACTTATTCGTCGTCACTAATTTGTTTCCACATTCTTCTGCAATTTGATTATTGAAAACTGGAAACTCAACCTCTCTATACACTTGATTGTCACTCATCATCCAGTAAAAGTTCCCGCTAAATTCAGTTGTTTCGCCAAAATTCCTACGAAAGTCCCAATGGAACGTGTCGCGTATAGTCATCGTATGGTTCCCAAGATCATTATCTTTTGAGTGAATATGAACAATTAGATTTTGAATTCCTGAATCGATGATATACATTGTATATGGCTCCAATGAGTTGACTACACCCGAAGTTGAAGAACTTACGGAGTAAATAACACATAACATCAAAACAACAAAGAAGAAGAATCTCATGGTGACAAGATTTAACGTATTTTGATTATTAGCCTAAGAGTGTCTTTCCTTAATATAGACATTCTCGAACTCAATGTATCCTGTGCAATAAACATACATTAAATTACATTATTATACCTTCAATATTTACATCTCGAAAAATTAATAGCATAATTATTAGGTTTTAGTATCGACATATGCTTGTATTGGAAATATATCCCTTAATTAAATGGTTGAGGTTCATTTAAGTTTTAATGTATAACATTTCTTTAAAAGTACAATAATATAAATGTATGTTTGGTTTTATTTGTTCGATTTATAACAAGAAATAATGAGTTTTAGGTTGACTATTACCAAAATACCCCTAGTTAATTAATATTTTGAAATTAAACTCTCTTAATAATAATTTTTACTTTTCTAGATATTCAATTGATTTGTTCCCAAAATATCCCTTTGTTGGGCAAAAAATTTTAAGTAATATCCCATTTAAAAATATAATGCTATAATTCTACATGTGTTTTCATTTGCTCGGTTAATTGCATTAAATAGTGATATCTTTGCTGAATTCCAAAAATACACATGCTTCACTTTTGATTTTCCAGTCCTTTTTGGATATAAATTTCAAAGTGAGATGATTTTATAAGAAAAATAAATAAACTAATTTATAAAAAAAGAAATGAATGTAAAATGTCATATTGGGCATACAAATGAAAGAAAATTGCCATTTAATGCATTCAGCCGAATCACAATAGCACATACATAGACACACACTGATAAAATAGAAACATACATAGAACACACTCAAACACATGAAAATCATGTTACTCATCAGATACTGATACCAAAATTTAACTAAGTAAAAAAGAAAGAAAATGTAACATGAAACTTGATAAAAACTGTACTGCAAAAAACATACAAAGGAACATGGTTTCTTCATAACCGTTATAGAAGCAAATGCTCTCCATAATGGAGGTTCAAAACAGAAATTAACAAATAAACTTGTGAATTTGTTATATCATAATTTTTTTCTCAAATACAAGAAACATTGACATATATGATAGAAAAGTATGATATCTAAACCTTCTATCACATGAAATATCTAATGTTCTATACTCTCAGGGACTGTAATAAGATACATATGGATCGGTAAAATGTTGTCTCATCTTTGAGTAATAATTAAGACCATCTTTTCTACTGGAGAAGCCATCAATTGGTCTCAATCCATTCGATAATCTCTAATTTCATGAGTCATTCAACCTGCCTTCCTTCCCTTGAAGTCCAAAACAAGTTATTGATTGATCTCATTCCTCCGAAAGAATAAGAAACAGTAAGATTAGTTCATCCAGTAATTTAACAATTCAAGATTACAAAATAAAAAATAAAAGATATCAGTTTTACACTGTTAAAGCTTCCAAATTCCAAGGTGCAACAACCTCAGAGAAAAATGAGCGAAACATGTACCAAATTGTAAGAAAGGAATATCTTCATCAAGGGTAAATTGGGCAAAACGAAGTCCAAAATTTTATGTCTTGAGATCTTGATCATGAAAACAGATACAAAAAATGGAGAATTCTAGGGCAATATGGTTATTTAGTATGGTGCCACATGTGGGTCTTAAGTAATGTCACAAACTATTATTTTTATAGTTGTATCTATGGCTTAAGAAAAATAAAAGATATTGGCTCCTAAATCTTTTTCCAAAAATCAGTCAGATGCTACGAATTCTCTTGAAAGGCTTAAAATCTTTCAATACCAACAAAAGTAAAAATAAATCCAAAGTGCCAAACAACATTTTGAATAATAACTAAAAACTTACGTATATCTTTAGAAAACCGATTAATAACAACAATAAACGATTAATATGAAGTGAATTATCTTAATTCATTAAAAACCTCATAAAAATCAAAAGGAAAAAATGCAATAACACTCTAAGGCATAGAAAACCATCCCAATATATTTAATAGTATCATTTTCGACTCCTATTGAATGTGTAGGATTGTGAAGCTTGATTAACGCTTACTTACAACCTAAATTCAAGAAGTAACTTGTAAAATTAAATATATAAAAAAAAGATTACGGCCAGGACTCCTTACAGAGGCGGGTAGGAAATAGATTCATAAATAGATTCAATGAGTATCCATGAAATATAGTAGATTTCAGTAGTCATGGAATTAGGTCGCCCTGTAGTGAATATTCAATAGAATACATAAATAATTCGATACTGCAACATAAACGTAGATAAAGGGTAGGAGAAAGTTGGTAATAGAATTGGTCGTACGACTTGGTGGTTTTAAGGCTTACTTCAAGAAACGGAGGGGCTGACTGTGTGATGGGTGGTTGTTCACTATGGTAAACGACATAAGGAGAAGAAATAAAGAGATTTTGTGAGTAGTAGATGGGGGTTCGAATTAAGGTGGTGGTTTTTGGGTGATATAGGCAGCGACGGGGGTGAGGAAGGTGCTAGTGTTAAGGGTGGGGATAGAGGCAAAAGACCAAAGTGTTTGGCAGTACATGTGGTAATGGGTTGGTGGCGGCTCTCGTTTAGAAGAAGAGAAATCAAATATCCTCTTACTTATTTTCCTACCAATTTGAAATCATGACAAGTGTCTTAAAATGATATTAATTTTATCAAAATATGACATTTGTCACCATTTTACGTGGATAGGAAGACAAGTAGGAATAAAAACAGGGGATATTTAATTTCTCTTATAAGAAATCATGAGAAAAGAGTTTGTATCGAATAGATATATCGATGGGGAGAGTGAAACGGTGAGCACCTTTATAGGAGTTGGAAAAACGAAGGGTCACAAGTGAAAATCAAAACTCCGTGTTTTTTTATTATGCAGTGAGAGTTGTATATTTCTTAAAATTAAGACTTTTGTGCAGTTAAGTATGTATACATAATCACATTTTAAGTAGGTATATATAACACCATAAACTTTATTTTTATTAAAATTTTAATTTTTTTCTTTGTATGTATGTATAATATATCTACACATTTATTATCCTTTGACTTTTTTTTCCTAGTATCCACTAGTAAATCTTGAATTATTAGTCAATATGTTATTTTCATAAAAAATATATGATAGAGTTTCATATAAATTTGTACCAATCTAATTAATACAAATCATTTTTTTAACATATGAATTCTTTGATTTCATGCATAGTTTTTTTTCGTTTTGTCATATTAGTTTTCATTAACTTTATCAACCAAAAACCAATTAACTTAAACGGATTTTTTATCATTAACAATTTTGAAAATCAATTTTCTATAATTAACTAATTAACTTACACCATCTTCAATCATTCATCATTATTTTCGTTAATCAAATCTCTCATAGCAATTACTTTGCTATCTGAGGTAGTTTCTTCTCCAATTTGGTTTTCTTGTTAATTTCTTGTTTTCCTTAGGATTGAGTTCATTTTCTTCAACTTCAACATTAATATTTGTTTATGCATACGATAATGTTGATTCTACATATTCGACCTTTTCATTGACCTCTTATTAGAGTCCTGGTGATGCTTTTATTTATATTGTTTATTACTTGGTTATGAACTTATGTTCTAAAAAATTGTACAGTATAATAATAAAAGGTCAAATCATTATATAAAAAACATATTTTTAGATTCAGAAAATAAAATAACTGAGATGAAATGAAGTATTATATGATTAGAGCAAATGACATATTTCAATGTCTCCATGAATATCATAACCTCCAACCAGATTCATACTACGTTTTGTAAAACAAGAACCATATGTGGTTGACTCGTTTATATCACACTTAAAATGTACGTATCAAAGATAAAAGGCATAAGCTTAAATATTTTCTTATATATTTCCATGTCCCCATTTATACTTTAACCTCCCATCTGATGGGCTACCTTTTGAAAAATAAAAACCATCATACTTTACTAACCAAAAACACTTATTCGTCGTCACTAATTTGTTTCCACATTCTTCTGCAATTTGATTATTGAAAACTGGAAACTCAACCTCTCTATACACTTGATTGTCACTCATCATCCAGTAAAAGTTCCCGCTAAATTCAGTTGTTTCGCCAAAATTCCTACGAAAGTCCCAATGGAACGTGTCGCGTATAGTCATCGTATGGTTCCCAAGATCATTATCTTTTGAGTGAATATGAACAATTAGATTTTGAATTCCTGAATCGATGATATACATTGTATATGGCTCCAATGAGTTGACTACACCCGAAGTTGAAGAACTTACGGAGTAAATAACACATAACATCAAAACAACAAAGAAGAAGAATCTCATGGTGACAAGATTTAACGTATTTTGATTATTAGCCTAAGAGTGTCTTTCCTTAATATAGACATTCTCGAACTCAATGTATCCTGTGCAATAAACATACATTAAATTACATTATTATACCTTCAATATTTACATCTCGAAAAATTAATAGCATAATTATTAGGTTTTAGTATCGACATATGCTTGTATTGGAAATATATCCCTTAATTAAATGGTTGAGGTTCATTTAAGTTTTAATGTATAACATTTCTTTAAAAGTACAATAATATAAATGTATGTTTGGTTTTATTTGTTCGATTTATAACAAGAAATAATGAGTTTTAGGTTGACTATTACCAAAATACCCCTAGTTAATTAATATTTTGAAATTAAACTCTCTTAATAATAATTTTTACTTTTCTAGATATTCAATTGATTTGTTCCCAAAATATCCCTTTGTTGGGCAAAAAATTTTAAGTAATATCCCATTTAAAATATAATGCTATAATTCTACATGTGTTTTCATTTGCTCGGTTAATTGCATTAAATAGTGATATCTTTGCTGAATTCCAAAAATACACATGCTTCACTTTTGATTTTCCAGTCCTTTTTGGATATAAATTTCAAAGTGAGATGATTTTATAAGAAAAATAAATAAACTAATTTATCAAAAAAAAATGAATGTAAAATGTCATATTGGGCATACAAATGAAAGTAAATTGCCATTTAATGCATTCAGCCGAATCACAATAGCACATACATAGACACACACTGATAAAATAGAAACATACATAGAACACACTCAAACACATGAAAATCATGTTACTCATCAGATACTGATACCAAAATTTAACTAAGTAAAAAAGAAAGAAAATGTAACATGAAACTTGATAAAAACTGTACTGCAAAAAACATACAAAGGAACATGGTTTCTTCATAACCGTTATAGAAGCAAATGCTCTCCATAATGGAGGTTCAAAACAGAAATTAACAAATAAACTTGTGAATTTGTTATATCATAATTTTTTTCTCAAATACAAGAAACATTGACATATATGATAGAAAAGTATGATATCTAAACCTTCTATCACATGAAATATCTAATGTTCTATACTCTCAGGGACTGTAATAAGATACATATGGATCGGTAAAATGTTGCCTCATCTTTGAGTAATAATTAAGACCATCTTTTCTACTGGAGAAGCCATCAATTGGTCTCAATCCATTCGATAATCTCTAATTTCATGAGTCATTCAACCTGCCTTCCTTCCCTTGAAGTCCAAAACAAGTTATTGATTGATCTCATTCCTCCGAAAGAATAAGAAACAGTAAGATTAGTTCATCCAGTAATTTAACAATTCAAGATTACAAAATAAAAAATAAAAGATATCAGTTTTACACTGTTAAAGCTTCCAAATTCCAAGGTGCAACAACCTCAGAGAAAAATGAGCGAAACATGTACCAAATTGTAAGAAAGGAATATCTTCATCAGGGGTAAATTGGGCAAAACGAAGTCCAAAATTTTATGTCTTGAGATCTTGATCATGAAAACAGATACAAAAAATGGAGAATTCTAGGGCAATATGGTTATTTAGTATGGTGCCACATGTGGGTCTTAAGTAATGTCACAAACTATTATTTTTATAGTTGTATCTATGGCTTAAGAAAAATAAAAGATATTGGCTCCTAAATCTTTTTCCAAAAATCAGTCAGATGCTACGAATTCTCTTGAAAGGCTTAAAATCTTTCAATACCAACAAAAGTAAAAATAAATCCAAAGTGCCAAACAACATTTTGAATAATAACTAAAAACTTACGTATATCTTTAGAAAACCGATTAATAACAACAATAAACGATTAATATGAAGTGAATTATCTTAATTCATTAAAAACCTCATAAAAATCAAAAGGAAAAAATGCAATAACACTCTAAGGCATAGAAAACCATCCCAATATATTTAATAGTATCATTTTCGACTCCTATTGAATGTGTAGGATTGTGAAGCTTGATTAACGCTTACTTACAACCTAAATTCAAGAAGTAACTTGTAAAATTAAATATATAAAAAAAAGATTACGGCCAGGACTCCTTACAGAGGCGGGTAGGAAATAGATTCATAAATAGATTCAATGAGTATCCATGAAATATAGTAGATTTCAGTAGTCATGGAATTAGGTCGCCCTGTAGTGAATATTCAATAGAATACATAAATAATTCGATACTGCAACATAAACGTAGATAAAGGGTAGGAGAAAGTTGGTAATAGAATTGGTCGTACGACTTGGTGGTTTTAAGGCTTACTTCAAGAAACGGAGGGGCTGACTGTGTGATGGGTGGTTGTTCACTATGGTAAACGACATAAGGAGAAGAAATAAAGAGATTTTGTGAGTAGTAGATGGGGGTTCGAATTAAGGTGGTGGTTTTTGGGTGATATAGGCAGCGACGGGGGTGAGGAAGGTGCTAGTGTTAAGGGTGGGGATAGAGGCAAAAGACCAAAGTGTTTGGCAGTACATGTGGTAATGGGTTGGTGGCGGCTCTCGTTTAGAAGAAGAGAAATCAAATATCCTCTTACTTATTTTCCTACCAATTTGAAATCATGACAAGTGTCTTAAAATGATATTAATTTTATCAAAATATGACATTTGTCACCATTTTACGTGGATAGGAAGACAAGTAGGAATAAAAACAGGGGATATTTAATTTCTCTTATAAGAAATCATGAGAAAAGAGTTTGTATCGAATAGATATATCGATGGGGAGAGTGAAACGGTGAGCACCTTTATAGGAGTTGGAAAAACGAAGGGTCACAAGTGAAAATCAAAACTCCGTGTTTTTTTATTATGCAGTGAGAGTTGTATATTTCTTAAAATTAAGACTTTGTGCAGTTAAGTATGTATACATAATCACATTTTAAGTAGGTATATATAACACCATAAACTTTATTTTTATTAAAATTTTAATTTTTTTCTTTGTATGTATGTATAATATATCTACACATTTATTATCCTTTGACTTTTTTTTCCTAGTATCCACTAGTAAATCTTGAATTATTAGTCAATATGTTATTTTCATAAAAAATATATGATAGAGTTTCATATAAATTTGTACCAATCTAATTAATACAAATCATTTTTTAACATATGAATTCTTTGATTTCATGCATAGTTTTTTTTGTTTTTTCATATTAGTTTTCATTAACTTTATCAACCAAAAACCAATTAACTTAAACGGATTTTTTATCATTAACAATTTTGAAAATCAATTTCTATAATTAACTAATTAACTTACACCATCTTCAATCATTCATCATTATTTTCGTTAATCAAATCTCTCATAGCAATTACTTTGCTATCTGAGGTAGTTTCTTCTCCAATTTGGTTTTCTTGTTAATTTCTTGTTTTCCTTAGGATTGAGTTCATTTTCTTCAACTTCAACATTAATATTTGTTTATGCATACGATAATGTTGATTCTACATATTCGACCTTTTCATTGACCTCTTATTAGAGTCCTGGTGATGCTTTTATTTATATTGTTTATTACTTGGTTATGAACTTATGTTCTAAAAAATTGTACAGTATAATAATAAAAGGTCAAATCATTATATAAAAAACATATTTTTTAGATTCAGAAAATAAAATAACTGAGATGAAATGAAGTATTATATGATTAGAGCAAATGACATATTTCAATGTCTCCATGAATATCATAACCTCCAACCAGATTCATACTACGTTTTGTAAAACAAGAACCATATGTGGTTGACTCGTTTATATCACACTTAAAATGTACGTATCAAAGATAAAAGGCATAAGCTTAAATATTTTCTTATATATTTCCATGTCCCCATTTATACTTTAACCTCCCATCTGATGGGCTACCTTTTGAAAAATAAAAACCATCATACTTTACTAACCAAAAACACTTATTCGTCGTCACTAATTTGTTTCCACATTCTTCTGCAATTTGATTATTGAAAACTGGAAACTCAACCTCTCTATACACTTGATTGTCACTCATCATCCAGTAAAAGTTCCCGCTAAATTCAGTTGTTTCGCCAAAATTCCTACGAAAGTCCCAATGGAACGTGTCGCGTATAGTCATCGTATGGTTCCCAAGATCATTATCTTTTGAGTGAATATGAACAATTAGATTTTGAATTCCTGAATCGATGATATACATTGTATATGGCTCCAATGAGTTGACTACACCCGAAGTTGAAGAACTTACGGAGTAAATAACACATAACATCAAAACAACAAAGAAGAATCTCATGGTGACATGATTTAACGTATTTTGATTATTAGCCTAAGAGTGTCTTTCCTTAATATAGACATTCTCGAACTCAATGTATCCTGTGCAATAAACATACATTAAATTACATTATTATACCTTCAATATTTACATCTCGAAAAATTAATAGCATAATTATTAGGTTTTAGTATCGACATATGCTTGTATTGGAAATATATCCCTTAATTAAATGGTTGAGGTTCATTTAAGTTTTAATGTATAACATTTCTTTAAAAGTACAATAATATAAATGTATGTTTGGTTTTATTTGTTCGATTTATAACAAGAAATAATGAGTTTTAGGTTGACTATTACCAAAATACCCCTAGTTAATTAATATTTTGAAATTAAACTCTCTTAATAATAATTTTTACTTTTCTAGATATTCAATTGATTTGTTCCCAAAATATCCCTTTGTTGGGCAAAAAATTTTAAGTAATATCCCATTTAAAAATATAATGCTATAATTCTACATGTGTTTTCATTTGCTCGGTTAATTGCATTAAATAGTGATATCTTTGCTGAATTCCAAAAATACACATGCTTCACTTTTGATTTTCCAGTCCTTTTTGGATATAAATTTCAAAGTGAGATGATTTTATAAGAAAAATAAATAAACTAATTTATCAAAAAAAAATGAATGTAAAATGTCATATTGGGCATACAAATGAAAGTAAATTGCCATTTAATGCATTCAGCCGAATCACAATAGCACATACATAGACACACACT